ACTCTCTTGCCTCCTGGTCCTTGTTGACATCCCTGTGATGCTCAGCTGAGGTGCCAGGGACAGACCGTTCCACCACCTGTGTCACTCCACCCCTAGTGTCACCCCACTCCCAGTGTCGCCCCACCCCCAGCTCCTCTATCCCATCCTTTCCGGCTTTCACCACCGACCTGCCCGTGAGCCCAGCTGGGCCATGGGCTTTGCACCTTCCCTCTGGTGTGATGGATGGAATTCCTCCTTGCGTGGGCTCCAGCTGACCAGGAGTCCACTGAAATGTGAGCGCTTTGACTGACTTCAGAGCTGTAGACCTAGTAGGCGTCCCTCTGAGACAGCCCCGTGTCTCTCCTGTCCTTCTGCCAGTGCTGCCCAGTGGCTCTCTAGCAGCGGAGGTGGGGGCCTCTGTCCTTCACTTCCTTCCACAGACAATTTGCACATAGAACATAGATTTCTAGAGTGGCTCACTGTTTAAAAATATTTTCCAATACCCAAGGACTTGGGTATTCCTCTCTGGCTTCTCACCCAGTGCGCTGAATTCATATTGTTGGTTCTGTCAAGTGGGCCTGTGCTTTCCCGGCTCTGCCGCACTATAGCTCTGAAGAGCGTTGTTTTGATTGCTTTTAGCTATATGTAAGGTGTGTGTATTTGCATCCACATCCACGCCATTCGATGACTTCATTTTTTATTCCTTAACAGCTGAGATTTGTTCCTGTTGGTGCTTATGAATTCCTGAACAGTGTCCCATTATACTGAAATACTTTATCCATTCTGTGGGTAGACTTTTGGGTACTTTTCTGCTTTTTCCTTCTAGGTATGAATGATGTCCCCATGAACACTGCTGGGGACAGATACTCGGAGACAGCCCTGCAGGTGGGGTGTGAGTTGAGGTGACTTTGTGTTTTATGGATTAGGTAGCGGATTGTCTTCCTCCATGGTTGTGCTGACCCCTACTGTAATTTCAGGAGAATCCTTACTGTTCCATTCTCACCATTTATTATCAGGGTGGTAAAGTTTTCTGTATTACTTTAATTTGCATTTTCTTACAAAATTTTCAGAGTTCTGCCTTTCTCATTTAAGTCCTTGGTTGTCCATCTTAATTTGGGTTTTGTGTGTGAAGTGATATGCCCATTTATAAAAAACATTTTCTGCCCAGCTAGGTCAGTCAGTAGAGCATGGGACTCTTAAAAAACACTTTCTTGTATTTCTCTTGGTTAAAAAAAATTTTTCAGAGAGAAAATTTTCTTCTCTCCCCCCATCTATTTTGAGGAGAATCAGTGGGTGCACCAAAGACTATGGTTACACACAGAGCTCAGAAAAGTGCTCCCCTTTTGTTAGGGTTTAGATCTTGGGTGTTTCCCCAAGGCCTGTGCTGGAAGGTGATTGGATCACGAGAGCACTGAACTCAACAGTGGGTTTGTCTGTGGATGAGTTCATAGCTGAGCTGCTATGGGGAGGTGGGGTCTGGATGGAAGAGGTGCATCATGGGGTGTGACCCGGAAGGGTGCGTCTCCTCTCTCTGCTTCCTGACCCCCATGATGTGAGCAGCTTTCCTCCATCCAGGACTTCCTGGTGCCACCAAGCATAGCCAGAAACTTCTCAACTGTGAGCCGCCAGAAACTTGCCTTTACATCGTGGGTGCTGGGTATTTTGTTATAGCAGTGAGGAAAGTGACGGGAGAAGCTCTACCTTTCCAAGGAACAGGACAATGGCGAGTTTTTACCGAGCATAAATTACAATAATGAGTATCATATTGGGCCTCACAAATTGGCAAGGAATATTCCGGTAAGGCTGGCCCATGGGAATGAGAGCTGTGAAATGAGCACGGTCTCACATGTACACATTAGCTGTTGGTGGTGAATTCAGTCCTTTTGCAAAGGTAATCTAAGGCTGACTGCACTGAAGACAACCTCTCACTGAAGTTTAACTGTGGAGAGTGTGGTGTGGAAGTAAAAATCTTCGGGTATGCATTACAGGCCGCATGTGGCATGTCAGTCAGCAGTGAACTGTGAGCCTCTAATGGAGCCACCCGACACTGGAGCTGTTGTATACTGCAACGTGTGAGTTTGCAGTGATGCTTTTGTATCAAATCTCCACGGCCAGCCGTCTAAAAGGAGACAACACATAACTAGGTGTGGTAGATGACACGTGTGATGAATGGCTATTCACTTTGTGTATTTCCTATTCTAGGCTTTGCGTTATTTTAGATGCACTCCTTTTACTTATAAAAAAGCAATTTCCTGTGAAACCGAACAACGCCCTTTCACCAGCATCCTCCCCGGCATCATTTTTCATTATGTCCTGTGAAAGTGGGTGGTGACTCACTGAGGGCCAATGTGAAGACAGCTGAAGGATTTGCAGAGGCTCTAAGATAAGCTGATTGTGAGGAAACTCGCTTGCTGAAGCTGACCTTCCCCGTGGATGAGAACGTCTGGTCCAGAAAGGGATTCCTGGAAGGGCTTCGTCCATGAGGAGGCTGCGTCAGATACAGGTCTGAGGGCTTTTCATGCCAGGGTGATGGCCCTGCTGGGGCAGTGTTGCAGGCTGCATGTTGATTCCTTTGCAATCCACCATGGTGAGGACTGAGGGCTATGACGTGTCAATAAGCGCACACTGCCAGGGTCTTACAGGAGCAGCCAGAAGTCAGGGGCCGCCATTCTCTCTTCCAAGGACCCGCCCCCCCCGAAACTGCTTTGCCAACAGTGTGGAGAATAACACACCTTTCTGGATCTTCTTTATGGGAGACAGTGATCTGACACCTCCTCCTCTACGCGAGATCTTCATCCCCTTATCAAAGTGGTATCTTTTTGACCCAGCCGATGGGTCCCAGTGCTGTGGCAGCTTCTGAGGTCGGCCACCTGAGGAGGCCCCCACCCAGGCCAGTGCTGCAGCCAGCAAGGACGAGGAGACGACACAGATGCAGTCTGGAAGGGTCACAGTGTGTCTGAGTGCATCCAGAACCTGGCTTGGGTTTGAGGTGATGTCACCAAGGAACCTAGGAATGGCACCTGGAGGGACATATCCAGAGGTCCACACATGACTTCAAGGGATCAGCCAAGGAGGCGGCGGCTGCAGAAATCAAGAAGTCTGTAGCTGTGAAAGAAACACCTTAACCTGGCTGGGAAGAGGACTCCACAGAGGAGCCCCTGGAGGTGGGTCCTGAGGAGGCACTAATGCAGAGCTGTTGGGCTGGACCAGGAATGCATAGCTGAAGAAGAGAACCAAAGAGGAAGAAAAAGAAGAACTCCCAAGAAAACCCACAGTAAAAGGTTTGGCAGAAGGTACTGCAGATCTCAGGTCCTTAAAAGGTGTGAAAATGTGGATTCTTAACTCCAAAGGCTCAGGAAGGAGAGGAATGTTCATAGTGCTTGATCTGCTTCTAAGCAAATCCATGATGCAGAGGGAGAAACCCAGAAATCCCTAAGGATGTGTTCTAAAGTATGACCTGTCCCCTAGAGGAGCCTCAGGCAGGTCCTTTGAAGGACTCTAGAGGACACTTTTCCTAGGAGGTACAGCTCAGGTGTGTTATCATCCTCAGTTTGTGTGTGTGTGTCTTAGTCATTTTTTTTAGGTATTTCCATTTTTTAGGTGTGGCAGTCTTTTGTACTGTTCTCTGCGACTTAGCAAGATCCTGTTTTAAAATAAAAAGAGCTGAAGATAGAACAAAAAGAAAGAAAGAATGAAAGAAGAAAAGCAAATAATATACGGTTGAAGAAAAGAATGGCAGAAAATCATACGATGTTAATAGAGCCTACTAAATATTTTCCACTTCTTTCAAGTTTCTCATTTGTTCAAAACTAAGTTTCAATGTCAAGTTCATACTGCTTGTACAATAGAAAGACAGGCAAGACAGTATAAACATGCAATTTTAAACAGAATTAAAATTAGAAATGCTCAGTTTCTTGTTGAGGGTGTGTTGAGTCCTGGCAGCGGGACGAGGGGCGGCTGCAGGCTGTGTGCAGCTCACTCCCAGGCACGCGTTCAGATGAGTGTGCAAGAACAAGAGCGCAGGAAGCTAAGGGGGGACGTTTCCTTGCACGGGGAAAACCGGCCCATCCCGCACCCCATGTGTTCACGCCCAGTGTTCATATTTCAACGCATGAAAAATGAAATATATGCAGAAACGAAACCAATAGCATAATTTGTATAAGAAAGCTGAGGCGCAGTACTGACACCAAATAAACACCGGACTACTCAGTCCTGAGATGATCGGACTCGCCCTGTAATCTGATGGGACTGCAATGACCATTCAGCCGGTCAGGGAGGAGGAGTAGAAGGAGCTGACGGACGTGCCAACACTGTGACAGGGCTTCTCACTAATCCTCGGAGTGGCCCGACTGGGCGCTGTGAGCTCCGGTTTACAGGGGAGGAAACTGAAGCTCACGGAGGTGAGCCGGCACGGCGCAGGGCACACAGTAGGCACTGAGTGAGTGTTACCTGGATGGGTGGCAGGAGGCACAACTAGCAGGAAGAGCCGGGGTTCGGACTTGCTCCATCGTGCCGCAGAGCTCACACTATTCCGTCACGGTTCTCTGCCTTCCAGGGGAGACTGCGCAGGATCATCCTAAACCGCAAAGAGGGACCACGGCCAGTGGTAAAGGGTAACGAGCCCAGCAACCTGTGATCTCCACCTTCATTTCGCAGCCATGTCCATCTCAAAATGTGTGCTTGTGAAAGGGTGAAAAAATAAAAACAAAAAGCAAAAGATTTTCAAGGGCTTTTACAATTACTTAACATTCATGGTACAGAAAAATAACAGATGTCCATATTATATGTGTATGAAACAGTTTATTAGTCATGCAGCTCATCTCTTTTTTGTTGAATTCTGCCAACTTATTAAAACATTCCTGCTGAAAACATCATCCAAAATGCTTCTCTAATTTTATGACTGTTATGTGTTGTCTCTATTTCTTGCTCCAGCCACACTTACAGCAAAACAAATTGTTTGAAAATGCTAAAAAAAATGAATGTGGCCTTTTCTTAGCTTTTTTGCATCCTACATTATCATATTTTACAACTCTAAAGGTGTATGGTTGCCTGTCTACGGTGAGGAGTAATCTATGGGATTAAAGCATTTTGTTATCCCAAGTATAGAGGGTCAAGAATGTAAGGGAAGTACAAAAACTTGAAAACGCTGAACTCACAGAGTAGATGCACATTAAAATATTACAGATTCAGCATATTGAGTATTTACCAGGGCAGAGAAAAAGAGTAAGTGCTACTCTTTGTATTTGGCTGCTGTATCTTCATGACAACCACTTACAATTTTTCAAAGCATTATTGTTGGGTAGGTTTTACTGGGGGAAAGGGTTTACAAATAATGACCTCATCCAAAAGCAAACATAAAGAAGACTTACAAATGAGTATTACAAAAGATGGTGGCTGGAAACAAAGGCTGTGTCCAAAAGGTCACTAAGGCCAACAGACCATTAAGAGGGAAAGGCCTTTGTTTCGTTCAAGATTTAACATCTGATAATCTCATTCGATAAATCTAACTGGAGTTCCTTTCTGATTATGTTTAACCACAAACGTGGTTGTATACCATAACAATTGTCATTGTACCTGGATATTAAGAGAAAAACCACTGGATTCTAAAGACAAATTAATACCTGTTGAACTTAAATTGAGAACTAATTAGGGGAAAATACTTAACTGGTTGGGTAAGCAAATTTCTAGAGGCTTAAAACATTATAAAACAAGCTGTTTCAAAAAATACTTTAACTCAAAATGATTTTAAAAAACTTATCAGAAAGTATAAAAGATCTTTCCTGAGCACTGGTGAAACAATCCATGTGACTAGCTTTATAAGGCTGACATTCAATGGAGAACAATGAATTTGTCTTTTGTAATCGGAAAAACATTAAGTCATTGTGTGTTATATTAAGCAGCTCTTATTAAAGCTTGTGATCTTAATGAATGCTAAGTGTGTGTCCTTGATGCTTTCTTTGCACCACCTCCTTCGATCAGAAGATCCTCATATAGTCTCCTTCTCGGTTAACCTTCAACACTCTGTACACAGCGTTCTGAAACACGGTGGTGAAGTAAGGCCTTTCGTCCTGGAGCAGTGTGCTGCAGAGGGAGGGGTTCGCCGAGTTGGAAGGGTCTTCCATGTCCCAGATTTCCAGCATACTGCAACCTGGCCTGAAAAGAAAGGATGTAAAAATATCCATGTGAAACATGCACTCATATACAGAGAAAGTGCATAAATCAGAAAGTATCTCTGAGATCCCCAGAGACTCACTTATTCAACAAATTAAAGATTTTAAAGCATCATTAAAAAAAAGCAAAACCCATGGGTTCAATATTTGGGTACTGGAGCTGCTTTCAGTTTTTTTTCTATCACAGGAATGAGCTGCTGTGAACATTGGTATGCAGTTGTTGGTATGGACGTGTGCTTCCTTTTGAGCTTGTGTAAATGCACATAGCAGGCATACGTTTGATTCCATAAGAAACTGCTCAACTGTCTTACAAGGTGGTCGTCCCATGTTACAGCCACACAACCGCATGTGAGAGTTCTAGGTATCCGGTGTCTGCCACACTCATGGGATCCTTTTCTTTAATTTAGCCAACGTATTAAGTGTTTAAGGGTATATCAGTCACCTTTTAATTAAGTTGTTTTTGAGATTTCAGAGTTCTTTATACATCTAAACTTCTTTATCAGACACAGGCTTTGAAAATATTTTCTCCCGACTGTTGTGGATTTTTAAATTATTTCTAACAGTGTTTATAAAGACCAAAAGTTTATATTTAATGACTGCCTGCCTACCAGTGGGTTCTCTCAGTGATGGTGCTTATGATGTTAGGTCTAAGAAATCTCTGCCTAACACAAGTTCACAATGGTTTTGTTTTAGGACTTTTATATTTTTATTGGACACTGTAAACAATGCACTGTAGTGACTCTGGAATCTCTTGTCCTCATTGTCTCTTGTCTTTGGCATTATTGTTCTAGGAGACAATGACCTTGCCTGGAACTGCTGTAGGAGCAGGGGTCTAAACAAAGGCCTCAGGAGATCCTTTGAACACTTTGCATTGTTTTGATTTCTAGAATTGCAAAGTTCAAAAATATTAAATTTTAATGAGTGATATTTTTGTTAGGTCATTCTTTAAGATGTGAAACTTATAAATCTAATACTCAGCTATAGTAGGAAGAGGTATTTTGTAAATTTAACTGCATTTCAGCATCTTATGAAAAACTGTCATAAACATTTGAAAAATTATGAAAAAATAAATTTAACAAAAATATTTTAAATATAAATCGTGGCATTAAAATATATTTTTTTAAGTTAGGTTCTCTTTAAACAATGGTGTTATCTTACTTTTCTAGGTGAAATGATTTTAACTAAAATACCAGGGTAATAGTATTTAAATGCCAGGATGCACTGGGACTATTGTTTTAAAGCGAAACACTTGTTACTTTAAAATGCAGCACATCATGTAGCACACTGGGAATACTCACTTGGTTCTCACGAAACACCATGCTTCTTCTAAAACATAGTAATTCACGTGTAATGCCAGGAGTTTATCTCTCACTTCTTTTGCAGATTTTCGACTATACACAGAATAAACTATTTTTGTGCGGGCCCTTTAAGATAATTATAAGAAGAATAATTATAAGAAGATAATTATAACAAGAATTTTAAATAAATGATAACAGACTAAAGAAAACTTCCTAATGGCTTGAAATTACAACCCTCACTGGATGGAGAACTGATATGCATGAAAATAACATAGTTGATGTGTGAGGTAGCCCTTTCCATACTCTTCCTTTGACTCTGAACGTATTAAACCTTATGGCAGTTTGATTTTCGCATGTTCTGCTTGTTGCTGTACAGCCTAATCTAGAGTAATAGTGGGCAGCAGAGTAAGAACTCAGGATATAAATTGTGCTTCACACAATCCACAAAAATAATCTGCACGTGTGATGCATCCGGGAAGAAGCTGAAGGTAGTGAAGGACAGGTTTCAGTAGATAATTTCAGTGACAGAAGCTCAGAAAAATATGTGAGTTGAAGTTGAACACAGCAAATAGCATATGTATGCCATAGGCATCCGGGGTGTTGGAGCAGGTAGAAAAAGTATCTTATAGCCCTGGGGATGGTGCTCATGGGAGATGCTGGCCTGGCAGGTACCAGGCACTGGGTTCAATCCCCAGTACTACAAAAAAAAAAAAA